GCCGCGCTCCGCCGCGTTACGTGTGTGGCGTGGAGCTGTGCGTAACGGAATGTGGGACAGGGAAGAAGAAAGTGGTCGGCAGGGCCTGGCTGGAGGGGAGGCAGTGTGGCATTGCACCCGCTACAGGCGGAGCGGCTCAGGCGCGGCGCACCGGGTCCACCTGGCCTTGGGCCGGCGGAGGGCGAGACCGCCAGGGGGCGAGACCGCAAGTTTGGGGATGTCGACTGTGCCCGCGAGGGGCGGGCGGCTTCGGGGTGCGATGATTCGACACGTCGTGCGGGGTAAACAGTAAACAACGCCGACGTCCGCCGACCGGGTACCGGGGGTGGGGCGACAAGCGGTGGTCGCTGCAACTGCAGGTCCCTGAACAAGGTGGGCCCTAGGGCCGCCTCGGGACACACCCTATTTTGCTTCGAAGCGGTGGCAGACGGGTGGGGCGAGGAGGAAACATGTCGTAGTAAATCGTGTAAGAAATTGAACTCGTTTAGGCAGGTGGCACGATAAAAAATGATTTTGACATATTGGCATACTCAGCTGAACTGGAGAAGGACACGGAAAGGACGCAGCAGCAAGGACATTGTGCTGCCAAAGGCGATGCTTTGTTATGAACAAGCAGTCGTTTGGAGTCGAAGTTGAAAAAGGTGACCGGCCAAAAAAAAAGTAGCAGGTAAATTGACTCATCCGATTCCGCTGCAGCGAGCTGAGTGTCGAAGGCATTACGGCCCATAAATGCCGTCCCCTTATCGCGTGACATGCCGGCGCCGGGCCTCTCCGTGCGATGCACGGTGCATGCCTACGTGAAAACGGCGATCTACGGCGGTCACGAAAAGCGCAGTGCCATCAGCCCAGCGACAGACCCCCCCCCCCACCTCCTCGAATCGACTTTACAGCGAGTTTCACGTCGCGCCGCTCGACTTCCTCAGATCTTTCCATTCCACTGACCGCAGCCGCGGATTTTAAAACCGGGGGACACAAAACAGTAATGCCTGGTCGAAAATTCAATACTACGCAGCAACATTGCGGTTTGAGAGACCTTTTTGTTTTGGTCGGCGCCACAGTCACGACCGCAGTCTTGTTTGACCACCACCCAGCGGCAATGTCGCTCGCACCTGCCTCCACGCAGCGCTGGGAGACGCGCGTGGGACTGTTGTTGCAGTCTGCCGCGCGTGTGTGCGGGTTACCTCCTAGCTCGGGGCCGCACGGCGCCGCTGGAAAATGCCTTTCACGCCTGCACGAGGTGCATGATTAATAAAAATCCGCCCTCCGCCGGTAAAAGCGGATAGGGAGAGAGGAAAATGTTGCGTCTCAAATGTAGCGACAGCGACTGTCCAATAAGGGAACTTTATAAAGTACACCGTCTGTGAAGGCAACACATCAGAGTGTTGCGGGTTTGCCTACCCGACATGCCCGTAAGGCGCCATGGCCGATTGGATATGCAATCCGCAACACTGCGGAGTAATCCTGTACACTCGATAGGCCTACGTCCGATTCATTCGGCAAATTACAGAGGCTCGGCGCCTGCGATACTCGGGGTAGGCTATCCCGCAGTACACGTCTGCACTGCAAGAAAGGTGTTGCCTACCTACAAGGCGCTATGACAGCTTGCATTTGCTGAACTGAGCAGGTTCGTAACGGCAAATGGACAAACTTTCTGTTCCATCCGCAAGTCGCCCCCGGTTAGGTGAACCGCTCTGGTGTTCCCCTCCAGCCTAGTGAGAAATGAGAGTGGAATCGACGTCGTCATGTCGTCGAAACGATGTCGAAATGGTGGAATCGACGTCGAAACACCATATCGCTTCGATGTGAATTTCTCAATTGGGAGGAGTCGCCCACGTCGCACCTGACGACATGCTGCCGAGCCCGCGGCGCGGCGTGCTGCAGGGAGGGAAGCACCGCCCTCTCCCTCTCTCTCTCTCTCTCTCACTCGGGCCGCCGCGCCAAACATGGTTCATTGCACCCACACGGCGAGCCGCACACCGGCCGCGGACAGACGGGGCGGTGCCACTCGGGTCGTGCTCGAGTACTGCCTAGTTTGCTCTTTCCGACCCCAAACAAGCGGCTGGGCCGTGCGGCGGCCACCTCGAGCTAGACCGACCATGGGGGGATGGGAGAAGGGGAGTTAACCTTGCCGGCGGGCCGGGCGCGCGGCCCCGCGGCTCTCCGGCTGCGCTGGTGCGGCTGCACGGCAGAGGACGTCACCGCCCCCCGGCCCGTTTGGCCCGTGCGTGGCCCCGCGCCCCCCGGCAGCCGACGTGAATGGAACGGGAACTCGCGGCGAACGCCGTGTGGTCCCGATCGCTCGATTAAACTCACAATGAACCGGCAAAGAAAGGCGCGCTGCGACTGCGACCTACCCCGCGGCTAGGTTAGGACTGTCACACGCAAGTCACACTCCAGTAGTGGTGTGCGGGGACAAGTCGCCGGCAGGACGGATATATCTGTGGGTTCTACGAACTGGAATGGATACTACCCTAATAGAATCAAGGATCGGAGATCATGCTCTGTTTTCTAGCATATGCTGCTCATATGAGCAGCAGGTTCAAGATTCACCCTTCAGTCCGGGCCATGGCCATGACGCATTTCGCCCCCACCACGCACACTCGGCACGTTTCTAACCCCGCAGTCGTAAGCCGACCTTAAGGCGCCACCTTCTTCAGTTTTTTTTTCCCCACCTCTCCCTCCTATTATTCGCTTATCTCCTTTGACAACCATCTCGTCGCCGCGCCGCTGGGGCAGGCCTTTCCGCCGTCGCCGACTGACTGCTCACCTCAGCCGCGTCAGCTGCGTCAGCGGCGTCATCTCACCTAGCCCGGCCCGCCGTGTGATTATCTGCTCGCTGCTTCGCGAGGGACAGGGACATGTCGCGTCGGGGCCCGTCTCCGCACCGCTCCCCGACAGCATCGTTCATAATATCGTTCGTAATAGCGCGGCGGCGAGCCTGGCGGACACTTCTCCAAACCGCAACGAGACGGCGGCATTGCCATCACGGCGCATCTGCTAACAACGCGAGACGCAATCCGCAAGGATTGACAAAGCTTCACGTCCCCCCGGGTGTCTCTGCTGTTCTTCTCGCGAGATGCTGCGATGCTTTGCCCTGGATCCCACCCCGTCGTCGCGTTCCAGCAAATATCACGCTGCACGTCTAGGCATCCCCTCTCCCTTGTTTGCCCCCCCCCCTCCCTTTTCCTCCAACGATGCCGGTTGAGATGATTCCGTCGCCATACTCTACTTGAGCCCCGACCAGGTTCTTGCTCCTTCACTCTCCCGGTACTCGTGCAGCCATACGCAACAGTTCTGCTCCGATCCACCCAGAGCACACGGCATTGCTCTTGCTCCTCCGTCATCAAACGTGCCTTGTGGGGGGGAATAGGTGATTATAAAGGCTAATATCCACAAGAAAGAAAATAAGATTTGAACAAGATCATTTTATTAATTTAGTCTCAATTCACTTAATGCCAAGGGAGAATAGATGAGAGATTTGACTCAGTTTAGTCTTCACAAGTGAATAAAAAACATGACAAAACATCACACATTGATCATTCTCAAGCATACCAAACCAGTAAGAAAGTCATTTAAATAAGTCATATGAAAGATTTCCTAATTTGAACATGAATTGAGGAAGATTACTAATATTCCCTTATGTCTAAAACAAATGTATGAGGCAAAAGGTAAAGTAAAAAAAAAAAACAACCACTGGTAAAAGTTGTAAACCCGCAAAATACGACAAAATTGTTCAAAAAACACTGTTCCTTTACCATAAAAAAATTGTGTTTCATTAAAAACTTTTAGTTATGAACTGGGAGCATTAAAGACTCCCTTGAAAACACATTGGCAAACTTGAGGAAACCTAAAGGCTGTGTACTTAGAAGTACAATTACCTCATCTCTCAGTACAAGCATTTATCACAGAGAAAGGAAAAAGAAATTGCTTAGCTATGACAACAGCTTTAAGCTCTTACACATAATACTTCACATAAGATTAAAGGCCTTAATGTTCAATAAGCATCAGTTTGAGGCAATATGAAAACAAAATTTAACTTTTTTTTAAATTTCTAAGATTACAGTTTCTATTCTAGCTAAATCCCATAATGTTCAGGAGGACATTAAGGGAAACTCTGGTTCAGGAAATAGACAAAAATATCTAAGTTCAAAATTTTCAGAGGTTACAGTAACAGAGGGATTTATCACACAATCTCTCAAGAGATGCTCTAAACCAGGCACCTCTGAAGTACGACCTACAGAAAATCACAAAGCTTTACATTTGAGCAATACCTGTACAATGGTAACAGGTATGACAGAAAATATTTTGTGTTTTCTTTTTAATTTATAATGTTAAGATGCGTATTACTGAGAGAAAAGTGTCTTCAGTTTATAATTATTAAGTAATTAAGCAGAGAAAGGAAGATCACAATCTTTAGAAGAGTGATTTTGGGGGAAGTAGTTTGTAGATGCTAGCTCTGTTGCTTCCTACTATTTGTACACACATGAGTACAAATGTGCTCTCTACGTCAACTTCTTCTAAAACTCAAATGTATGTATTGCTCAAAATTGAAATTTTAAAATAAAAAAATAAATAATGACAGCACAGTACTATTTTTTCCTGTACCTAAAACACAAAACAAGATAAAATAAAGTGCCTTGGACTTTGGCTAACATAAGATTTCAAATAAGGGTAAGAGATTCACATGGAATGCCAAATAAATGCAAAAATTATGATTGAACAGTAATCAACTGAGATGAAGTGCACTTTAAGAAAAAGACTGGGATTTTCATCATCCGACTACTCATTTCACTTTAACAATGTCAATGTTAAAATACAAATCCTAAGTAAAACAACAAAACTTTGTCATGCAGTGTACTTTACTTATATCCTGATATCCATGCATAATAGGGTAGATCAGGAAGAGTACTTGTCATGTAAATTGACATTAAATTGGCAAAATTTTGTGCATTTTTTTTCCAACAGAAACAAACCCAAGAATGGTCAAAAAGCCTGATTAACACTCGTACAAAACTTTGAGACAAACATTATCTTTTCCCCAATGGAGGTTGCCATAGTTTTAGTACACATGAAGGAAGCAGGAAAGTATTAAAATAACCTACCAAATGCATAACAGCCTTCAATGATATTGGCAAGAAATGCAGACATATCTTAGCAAGATAGTACTTGGAAAGGTGGAGGGGCTAGGGGGTGGGGGCTGGCTGGGGAGCGGAGGGGTTCAAGAAAAACCTTCAGAAAATTAACAGTAACAAAACCGAGAAGCTACCTTGGATGTGAAGCACACAAATTACAGACTTCTAGATTAAGAAAAAAAAAATCTACCAATTAATCACTACATCTTTTTGGTGCAAACACCTCCTCTTCAGTACCGTTACAGAGGTACTTTAATCCATACTGAGACCTAAGCCATAAATACCTTACAAAATCTAAAATTAAGCTTCAGGCAGAAAAAAATATTTCTATTAAGCTAATGTAATTTTACATCCCAAATCTCACTGACACTTTCTAGCCACAGCTCCACTTCAGGGTTACTCTTTAGACCGCCAAACAGAACCTGACAGTTTAAAGTGAGGAAGGAAATGAGTTCATAGCCTTGGACAAAAAGACATTGGATGTTAAGCATAGTAAACCTATACACCCTATTTGTAGTTGTTTCAATGAGCTGTGGTGACTAGATTGTTTGCTTGATGCTAGATGCATCACTCACTCTTGAGGCTTTACAGAACCAGCCTGTCCTAGTCCAATTTAAAAAAAAAAGAATTAAATGAAAAAAATCTTTTGAATTTTGAAACTTAATGTGATTTTTCTTTCAATGATGGAGTTACACCATTGGTTGTGATACGTTCAGTTCCCTTTGATTTTTTGTCACTGGTCAAATAAGTCTTCTGGAAGAACCTTGCAAACAACACAAAGTAACTAAAGTACATAGCAATAGAAAGCTTAATATTAAAGACAGAATTATGACATGCTTGACCAGCCTTCAAATACTGATATGCCCAAATGTTAACACAACAACCAACTATCATCTGGCTGAGCTGGAGAGTTGTAATTATCATAGCAAACCAGCGGGGAGGAAAGTACTTCATAGACCGCAGAGCATAGTAGGAGTACATAACAGAGTGCACACAGTAGTTCATAACAATGAACCAACGGGCCGATGATGTATATTCAGTGTAGGAGTACCATGAGTACAATAAGACTGTGATGTGATGGTACCAATGGAGGAAGATGAGTGGTTGCTTACGTAGGACGATAAACACTGTGTCGCCCAATTCTGGGAGTTTGGACAGAACAAACATCCATGTCCAGAATCCAGACACACGGTCTTGCTCAATGAAACTGAAACAAACAAAAATGACAAGAATGTTACACACATGCCACAAGGAAATTGCTAGCAGAATGTTTGTTTGAAAGAACAAATTCAAAAGGCCAAGAATTAAAAACTTAAAAGATACATCACAAACACCTAAAAATAAATGACAGTGACAATAAGAGTGAAATGACACTGATATGCTGTTTCGTCCAGGATCGGAGAATAAAACGTGATATAGAATCACTCCAGCTACCATTTAAAAACCCTACGAAATCATGTTAAGTGCCTTAACCTCACCCCCATCATCCCCCCGAAACTCACATACGCCAAATTAGACTCAGAAGATCAAAATTGGACTATATACTTGTCGTACTAGGAAGCTGAGAAAGAAACATCTCACTTTGTTCAACGGGGAAACTACGAGACTAGAAAAAATGCCAAAATTATGCTTGGCTTCGGAAGGGAGGGGCTGAGATCGGCCGGTAGGACCCGCCCCAGGGCAGGGCCCCGGGCCCCCGCGCCTCGGCTGGAAGGGCAACTAACCTGGGTACACAGATGGAGTGGTACGGGCCGTAGTTTCTCAGGACGTGGAACAGCTCGGGGGCTGTGCGGGTGGCGCCACATATGCTGAAAAGGGCAAGCGCCGTGTTCCATACAGCAAGGACGCCCGTCAGTTGGAAGCGCGGTCGGCTCTGCATGTACCACTGGCCGCCGAAAATGAGCACCATGTAGATCCCAACGTAGTAGAAGCCATACGTCCAGTTCTTGGACATCCACACGCGTGTATCTTGATGGACAAACTCCTCTTCGAAGTTGAAAACGTACGAGTAGTTGGGGGTGGCCCCCCCTTCAAGGTATCCACTGTTCATCTTGTCTTCCGGGGTTCGCGGTGGCGCGGCTAACCTACAAACGAGACGGGGCGGGCGGGTGGGTGGTGTGACTCAGAGGTGTGAGGTGAGGGCCAGCGCCAGCGAGAGAGCGCTCCGTACGGCACGCGACAACGCGACGCGGGCACGTTTCTCCGGCCACTGACAGCGGTTTCGGCGGAGCGGAGCGGAGAGCGGGCGAGCGGCCGGTGCTTGACTCCCACTCCCACCTCCAACCACGAACCGCTGCCCCGCTGCCCCACGCTGCCCTCGCCCTTCTCCCCTCCTTTCCCGCGCCTTCCGCGTCTATACCCCACATCGTGTTCGGTCAACAAGTACGTACGATCGCCACGAGATGGCGGCAAGTATTGAGTGGTTTCGTTGCCGGGACTTCCCTGTAAGCAGCTGGAAGGGGTGTATATTCCAGAACTTTTGGTTTGACGTAGAGCGTCGACGTGCGCTGTAGACACGTTAAAAGCGCAGTACGGCATTTAATTTGCTCAGTAAAGCGCCACTAATTTGTAATCGTTCCAGCGCGCAGTTGACTGCCGGTGAATAAAAAGGACGACTTCTTCAACAGATGCTAACATCTGGACAGGTTTTGACAGGTTTGGACACGTTCTAGACAAAGTGTCGTCTGAAATATGTCCAGATTGTGTCTAAAATATGCACTTGTCGAAAGTCAAACCGTGGTCGCACTTAAAGATTTAACTGGAAAGTCAATACCCCGTGATATCAAAGTGATCAAAGTCCCTGGCAGCACGGGGTATAGTGGTATTAGTGAGGCACACTAACCCTCTCAAGAGCCGCCGCAACCTCCGTCCACTGATTTTTGTTGTTAATTACACGATTTAAAAAAAAGTCGTGTTTCGTTTGGTCACTATAAGAATTCTATGTTGTTTCTATGCAAATGCTTCTCTACCTCCCCAGCGCGTTTTTCTGCGAATAGGTTGTCTGCGCATACACGCCCACTGTGCGAATCAGCCTGCCCATAATCGACCTACTGCTACTGCTAGTGTTCTGGAGTGTTGCAAAACAGGCTAAGGGAATTTTGCACAACAGTGATACGCAAATGTAGCCCTGTTGGAGTTTTTTCATACGCTACGACCCTTTGGATCTCAAGAATGTAAAGAGAGCGGTCTATTGCACACACGTCGTTTTCGATGTCTTGCTTTTAGAATATGTGGCACACCTCAAGACGTCCACTTCGCCATCTCGGTTATGAATGTCACTCCTATTATTAACTGTACCTAAATAATAATGTTCACAAAGAAAGTTCATGCTGACATTAAGAAGTCCACGTTAAAAGTTCAGGATCTCAAAAAGGATTCAACCACTCGACTCAAGCACCTGAAAATTGTTCTGGGTAGGTTATGTTTACATTGACACCCTGTTGTCGAAGCTCTGCTGCCATGAAATTTGACAAGTGCTTCAAATAGAGTTAGGTCGGGTTTTCTCAGCTTAACCATTCTATTTTATTTTGTCATACGTGCAGGATCTTTTTTTACAGTCAAATACTTGCTCTAACTTACCGTGACACATTCCAAAACAGTTTGTTGCCATTGCCATTTAACTTCTCCATTCTAACTTCTAATAAAATCACTATGTTATTCTTCATTGAAATGTCAATTGAATGGTGTTTTTACGGTCTCCACAGTTTCAGATATTTTTATTCATCTTGGTTTGCTGACTGTCTTATCTGTTACAGAAAATCTAGATGTTGAAGATGCTCGTCAGTTCTTTGAAACAAACTTCAGTCACATTTACTGTATTGTCTATGATAGCTTTATCATAGCAGAGACCAACTTACGTCAAAGAGGTAAATTTTGCACATCTATTTTTAAAAAATGTATTTGTGGTGGTGGAAGTACATTTGTCTGATTCCAGTTTGCACTCAGTTTAATAATTGGTCATGAAGCACTGAACTCATTCTCTCCCTCTAACAGCCTTCATTGTACAATGTAGTTTTAAAAGTTATGCCCCTCGGTAAAAGTAACTAAAATGTTGAAGATTTTGTCAGTTTTATATCAAAAAATTTGTTGTAGTTAGTACTAAATAGGTATTCAGATATTTGTTTTGTGTATTGTAAACTTTGGGATTATTTGTGGTGTTTTGCATGTATTTTGTATCTGATCAAGTACTAATTAACATGAGATAGGATTCCCAATCTTAGTACTACTATTCAAGATTAAATGGCAGATTCTACTGCGATTGAACTTGACATGATTCTAACATGCAATTGCTTTTAAATGTGTATGTTTTGTTCTTAATTGTTCTATCTTTATGACCTCGCATGAATGTTACGTGCAAGCATAAGTAATGATGTAAAGCTAGGAATCCTGGGTAACATGACTTTGATATTTACTTTTCATTTTCTTGTTGCATCTCTTCCAGACCTGACATTCCATCTGGGTAAGTAATGCACTGTGTGGTTATGGAATTGCTTACCTTTGCTTGGCAAAACCTGAGCTTTAAGTTGTGTCATGTGATATTTACTGTCTCATAAAAATTCTCGCTAACATACAAAATATTTATTTGAGGTAGCTATATGAAGTTGGTCTTAACATTCAGAGGTCATCTAGGTATTTTTGAATGAATATTTATGCAATGAATTTAGTTTGGAAGTGGAAGTTAAAGTGCAAGTGCAAATAAGAGAGGATTAAAATAAATCAAAAGCACAGTGTTTTGAATTGCAAATAACTGTCTTCTCTGCCATTATGTTTTTAATTTGATTGTTCTCTTTTGAATTGTAACACTTTTGGGGTTTTGTGGATTCATATTTATTGCATGTGGCGTTTGTATTTGGTATCTGAACCAATGATTTATAGAAAAAGATTTTAATATATGCTATTTGGAGCCAAACCCCTGCCTCTCACATAAATTTAAATCTCCTTTAATTTTTCTCTAAGACCATTGAGATTATTTTGACAATCTGAAATCTTGCAGAACAAATACTGGCAATGCTATTGATATTTTCTTTGATTTGTCAACAACACAAGTGTTATGAAGCCAGATTGTTTCATGTTTATTTTCCCTTTTCAGTTCACAAAGCACATCGAGAGGAATTGGAGTGTGTACTTCAAGTGTTAGAAAAAGCTTTAATACTTCTACCAGAGTTACTTGGACGAAGATGGCAATGCCACTCATTAACTCGTATTATGACCAAACTCCTTCATCCGGGCAATTCATGGAAGCTGAGAAGAGAGGCCATGAGGTTAGTTTCATTCTTTTTATAACCTTTCTCCTTTACCTGGTATTGTTGGCTTACCCCTTCATACTTTTGCAGATACTTTCTTTTGTGGTATCAAGCCTTAGGAGATATGGCTCCTAATGCAATACATGCCATGTTTGCCACACTGGTACCAGGATTTCCCTCACCATTCCCAGGTTTGGGCTTGGACAGTTTGAGTAAGACTGGGACACAGGGATCTACATTCCATGATGCAAACCAAGGTATAATAAACTTACTTGCTGTAATTTGTACTTTAGTTCTATCAAAAGATTATTTTCCTTCTATATCTTTCCAGGTCGAGTGTGTCCTGTCGAAGTTTTACCAGTTTTTCCTCCTCAAAGTGGGGAAAAACAGCCAGAAAATTTGTCATGTTTTTTTTTAGAAGCTGTTTTGGAATTCCTTGTTACACAAGTGTGTATTAAAGATAAACATATTGCTTCTTTTGTAGGTTGCAATCATCCTCATTATGTAACACATTAACTCTTTTTGTTCTAGGTTGGACGAATTGAATGGCGAGACAAACTATCCCGACAACACAAGTGCTTTATGTTTTTGTTTGAACGTTTTAAGCAGTATTATCTCCCTCAAATTTTTCCTGACTTCTCCCCCCACACAAGTCTCTACAAGCCCAATCTCGGTAATGTGACATAATTGCTTTTTTCTTTCTTTCTTTTTTTTTTTTAATGGAAGAGAAATTCCTTAATTGAACTTGACCGTACATGTACATGTTTCATTATTTTAGAATTGCCATCATTAAGGAAAGCATCTGATAGCACAGATGAAAGGCGACGTTTTGACCCCATGGCAAGTTGCCGAGTTGCTTTCATCAAATGGATTGCAAACTTTACTCATGCTGTGAAAAAGGGAGAGGCAGGATTTACATCCTCTGTGCCTACCAACAGGTGTGTACCCATATCATCTCATTCGCAAGCTCTTTCTCAGCTGCACTCGCAAGTCCAAATAAATCCCTTGCACCTGAGCTTGCAATCACATGCCTCTTCGCATTTGTCTGCTGCCCAAATCCCTCAAGGCAGCTCGCACCCTTCTTCTCAAGCTGCCCAGCCTAATGCACAGGGATACAGGTATGTGCACTAAATTCCTGCTCTTCTTGATCTATCTCTCTAACTTGTTGAGTTTGACATGACCATACTTATGTTCATAGTCACTAACATACATTGTTTCATTCATGAAAAGTAGTGTTTCCCTACAAAATTTTTGATTTCTGCGAGGTCTGGGACCGCTGTGCTGGTTTGTGTCAAACTCAATGTGTTAATGCCAAATTTGATGTCATGGACTTCTAAAGCTTGTGCTTGGATTATCTGAACAAATCTAATGTGTGCCACAAATTTTTTTTACCTTACTTGTCAGTAATTCGTGTTTGCCATTAGTGATTTTGCATATTTTATGTTATGCTTTTTCCTATGTTTGAAAGCCCTCTTTCACCTACTTTAACTATCACAATATTGTGTGTTCATGTATGACTGATGTGTACTGCCAAAAAATAAGAGTTGTTTTTCTCCTTCAATACAGCATCACTGGTAATGAAGATGCGGAACGATCTCCCGGCACTGAATTGAGACGTGTGAGTGTCAGCCAAGCAGGTATATCTAGTAGTGATGCAGTGTCACCCGATTCAAACCAATCAGTTTCCTTCTCTCAGTCAGATTCCACTTTTAGGTAGGAATATTTTGATCGTTTACTTTTATTTTATTTTTGTGCATTCACTTCATATAGTATGCAAATCCTTTATTCCTATTTACCCTATTCTGTATTCCATATATCAGTGAGGATCCAAACCAAAGTGCAATAAATCTTGTGCGTGAAGTTCTCTACTCCAGCCGTGACAATGTAAATTTAATCCACGAAGTATATCGGCAAGCCTTTCTTCTTGACATGTCTCAAGCTGCTGCAATCCGCAGGACCATTGCTGTCTATAAAGACTGGATACAAATGAAGGTAAAATTCCTGGCGTCCAATATTTATCAAAAGTGTGGATGCATTTTTGAGCAATATAGGTTGAGTCATTGCAATCTGTTGTTTGATGCAGGTGGATCTACCACCTTTTATGTTGGAGCCTCTAGATGGGCATAAGAATGAAGACCATCATCGCTCTAACTATGGGCACACCATGGAAATGGCTTCTAATGAAGTGAGTTTTTTTAATTGCATGTATATATGTATTTATGAATAATTCACCGTGTTATTCTTAGTGTTGTGAAAAGATTTAGTGTTGTCAATCTGGATGTAACTTGAATTTGTTTTCATTTGAGTACATTATGTGTAATTAATCTCCTAGGCTGTGGAAACACATCGGCAAACAAGACTGCGAAATGATTCGTACTTGGGCGCTATTCATAGGGAGAATCTTCTTGTGAGAGCTGGACTACAGGTATGCCCTTACTTAATAAGTCTTTCATTGAATAATTGATACATAGTTGAAATGTGTCTTAAACTTTTCCATCCTTTGTTGTAGAATCTTCTTCAAGTATTTATAACCCATGCTGCTCATGTGTTCACTTTAGAAGTTACTCCTGATTTTCCTGTTCTTTTGGAAGAACAGGTGGAAGCATGTAAAAGGGTTTTAAATATTTACCGGTATATGGTTATGCATACCAGAATGGAGGCTCGCACCTGGTAAGTAAGTTGTTATTTCCCCGTGACTCTCCTTGAAGAAAACTTGACACACCTTTATTTTTTTCCTTTTAAAGGGAGCAACTACTTGTAGTTCTCTTACAAGTTACATCTCTAATACTAAGTCGCACTCCACCAAAACGCAAAGAGGAAACCTTGGGAGGAAAATTGGCTCCTGCTATCTTTCAAACTCTGATAGTGACTTGGATCAAAGCTAATCTGAATGTTGTAATTTCAAACCGTCTGTGGGACCAATTTTTAGCTGTTCTTTCCTCCTTGACTCAGTGGGAAGAACTGATCAGAGAGTGGGCAGTATGTTCTACTTTTTAATTTACCTGAAACATTTTTATAACTTTTATAATTTTAAACTCACTCATTTGTTTCTCTTATTTAACCTTATTCTTTTTCCTCCAGAAAACACTGGAAACGTTGACAAGAGTTCTTGCAAGACATGTTTACAATTTGGATTTGCTTGACCTTCCCTTAGATAGATTATCTGAACAGAAAGCTAAACGCCGTCGAGGCGGAGCTAATGGGAACTGCGACAATGGGATTGTGGGATCATATTCTATCAGTAACAATAATCGCACCAGTAATATAGTTTCAAATGTAGATGCTGGAAGAAGCAGTGCAATCTCAGCACCAAAGCGTTTACGAGACAGGGGTGGAACAAATGTAAAATCTGTTCCAATTCAAACTCATCATGATGACAGTGAAGGAGGCCCTAGCAGCTTTGCTAATTCAGGTTAGCTATATGTATTTTATTGCACCAGAAATCAGTAAGTAAGTAATTTTTTCATTTGCTAAGCTCAAGTTTTAAAATTTTAGACACAGGTGCAGTTATGTTTCCAATTGCAACACGGCTTGGAAGCCACCGTAAGAGGATGTATAGCTCAGGGGAAAATGCTCTGCCACGCAGTTCAAGTGAAACAAATCTTAGTCTACTGAAAAGTGGTCAAAATCACCAACACCGTTCTAGGGCTCCTCGCACAGAATCTCACTCTCATACAGTTGTCATTCCAGGTAATTAAAGTTCAGTTCCTTTGACATTTTGCAGAAACGGGGACGAATTATAGTCAATCACAAATTGGAAGGAGGTTGGTGTATCACGGCGGTAGTACCTGCTGAATCTGTTGCTCCATATGCTGGACAAACAGAAGTCAGCAGATATTTTGGGTCTGCTGTCTTTCCATTTGTTTTTGACTTAAGATGCTCATGATCTGGTCCAAAATAAAAATAAATATAAAAACCAACAACTTACATTTGCAGTTTTGGATTTTTTTTGTTCTAATATTATTTTCTCTCTTTCTCTGTTTGTGATGTTTAGTTCTACCACCTTCTGTAGAAGTTGAAGTGGCAAGACTTTTGGCATTTCCGAATGTGAAGACATGTCCTCCTAGTCGCTTGCGTAAGCGAAGGTCGAGGTCTATGGATTCTTTGAGAGGAGTTCGAGGTATGTTACCATAGATTTTTAACATGTGTCTAGCCAGGAAGTTAAAGCATGGTTCTTCTTTTCTAACTACTGTTTTGCTTAAACAAATTATAGGAGGATCCCCACTTCATTTATATGAGTCTGAGTGTGCCACACGGTCACCATCCCCAGCACCATCAAGTGGACTTGAAAGCAACTCCTTTAAAGATTCTCCCCTGCAATTAGATATGATGAGTGGAGATGCAGCCAGTTTGGGTATTAACTCATTCTCTGTGTAAAGTAAGTTTTCTAATCTTTCATTGTTTTTAGACATTTTTCTCTGTTTGCAGATGTTGGAGATGGTGATGGGAGGGTTGAACAACGAAGTGTCATGGCTGGTGGTACAGAGAGGGGTTGGCTTCCAGATGTTGCCGTAGTACTGTGGCGTCGTATGCTTGGTGCTCTTGGTGATGTTAACAGGTTGGCTGATCCGGCACTTCACGCTCAAGTGTTTGATTATCTGGTGGATCTTAATGACACTATGGTGAAGGTGAGTTGCCACCTAATTTGCTTTTCTTGTAATGAATGTTAAAAAAATATCCCTGAATTATTTAATTGAATGTTCTTCTCACCCTTTAGATTCGATTAAATCAGGGGGTATCGTCTGATAACTTAGTTACACCTCCACCACCAGATCTTGTGCCACCCATCACCATCATTGCCCCCTGGTGTTTTCAGGTATTTTTGAAAGGAATTGAAATAATGTAGAGGTAAAACTCAGCGTGCTAACGATTTTTGTCATTTTTCAGGCTCTTAAGTTACCTGACAGCTATCAAAAGGGGAAACTTAGTGCCTGCAGGCTTTTGTGCAACATGACAATAGCTCCTCATGACATTGCCTTAAGCCGTGATCATATTACACAGTTCTACAGTGTGCTGCATCATGGGTTGATTGGAACTGATCAGGTGGCTTGCCTATAATTTAAGCTGAATAGTTTTAAAACCATAACAACATACATTTATCATGATGTCTCTTTTTGTATTAACTGGTTTCACTTTCTCTCTGTTGCAGTTTATCATGAATTCAATAGTGAAATTTTGCGGACCTCGTTTCTTTTCTTTGCAACTCCCTGGTTATTCTTTGTTGTTGCTCGACTTTATTCATGCTGCTAATACAATAGTTTCTACATCTGATTTGCGTCATGTATGCGTGCAATATTCCCCAAAATGCAATTCTAGTTACTTGCTGATTTCAAGCACTGGGTTCTACTAAATTAAGGCTATATGCTGACGATCAGCATCAGCATGACAGCACATCAGCATCAGCATCAACAAAAGAAGATCTACAGACCTGCCATTGGTCATTTGTGCACAAAGGTGCCAATCGCACTTCTGTAGATCTTCTTTTGTTGATACTGATGCTGACGTGATGTCGATGTCTTGCTGATTGTCAGCATATCGCCTTACCTTGAGAGAACTCTCATGCGTTTACCTATTGATTCATTTATTTTTTTGTTGCAGACTCCAAGGACTGAAGCTATGTCTATTTTGGGAGCTCTGTTGTGTTTGACAAATAACTTATCATCATTCCCTGTTCTGCAGCCTAATGCTGTGGATTACTCTATTATGTCCTGTATTGATGCTAAGGTACTCTTTTTGTTCTGCCTATACATTTATTGCATATTTTCACAAAAATTATGATTTTCAAAATTTCCTATTCTCATATCAGGATCATATAGTAAACATTCTTCTCAAGTGTGGCAAACGAGAACCAGCAGGGCTTGCCCGCTGCATTGCACTTTCCTCTCTCGGCATTTATTTGTATCAAGAACTAAGTAATCTGCCGAGCACAGATGGTCAGCGCTTCTTCCACCCTAAAATGCCAGAGGCTATTAATGTGTTACTTCTTGCTTTAAGGGTAAGTCCATGCTGTAATATTTCTTCTTGGTCGATGGTTGAATGGCACTGTAGAAAAACTCATTCTTTTTAACATGTCACCGGTTTGGCATTGAAGAATGCATGTCAATCCTGAACATATAGCTTCTTGAGGGTTTTGGGTTCATGAGCACCATGAAATCTTAATTTGGAAATGGACTTTTGAGCTTCAGTTTTGGTGTGATTGTGTAGTTTTCATTTTCCTACTGGTTTTTACCTATGAATTGGCTACAACCCTAATATGCGCCAAATTTTACCAATGATTTTATTTTTTATTTCTGCCTGTAGAAGTGCACTTATCGAAATCTGTCATCTGAAAGTGCATCAGTGATTAAGGTAGCTGTACTATATTTGGCATGTTCGTTGGTTCATGTTTGGCATGTTAACCTTTGTGCATTCATTACTATTTATATTGTTTTGTTTCTTTAATATTCTATCTTGTATTTTCATATTTTTGGACAGTCCCTTGTTTTTCCTTTTTTTATCTTTTCTGTTTGTTTTGTGAACTATCAAGTCTCTCTAGATACTTCTAATAAGTGTGGTGTAGTGTCGTGTAAATTTTACAAATTTTGAGGTTTGTTTCAAAACTTGCCTCTATTGTTGTCTGAAACCTCTGGTGTTATTGCTTGCTGAATTCCTGTATTTGGCTTTGAATCATGATTGCCGCTTTATCAAACTTGCATGTGCACCTTTCTCAAACCTTCTGGTATTGGTTGTTGTGAGTGAAAATTTCTAAAATGTGTGGTAAACCTGATAATCAAAACTGGCAGAGCTAAGTTTTAAACTGTATTCAAACCCACTCATTTGATAGCATCAAGAATCCTTGAGATATTTTCAATAATTTTTTTTATGAAGAGTTTCAAATTATACAAGCCATGTGTCAAATTTTCAATATTCACTCAATCAATTTTTTAAAAATTTACCAACACTTTTTATTATTATGTGTCTTGACCTTTGTGCCTTTCCTCATACTCTTCTGAAATTTTTATTGCCATTTTTCTTGAGAATTATACATTAACAATGTCTTTATATTATTTATTTTTTTGGTCAAAATATAGTTCAATCATCGTACTGTTGGTCAAGTTGCATCAGACATAATTCTCCTCCTTGTGGATCATGTATCCACACTTCTGGACTACTTCCCTGATATTCCATGTCATATTGTAGAGGTAAATTTGAAGATGGGAAAGAATGTATCTCCCTTGTTTAAGTGTTAACAAAGCATTTTATTTAACAGTTTTATTGTTTCAATGTAGGTCATTTCCTCTACATTGGCTCAACTTACTCCTCAAGAAGGAGTGCAAATGTCAGAACGCGATAAGCGACTTCTGACTTCATTACTGTTCTGTCTAGGGGAATGGGTAATGGCATTGCCCAAAGAGGTCCTCTTGTCTGTTCGTCCTTCAAAGTCTCAATCCAGTGAGGACTCATGCAGCCTTTTACATAAAGTTTTCAAGGTACTGTAAGGTTTAGTGCACAAGCTTATGATTTCAAACTATTAGAAAAATGCTCTCTTCTGTACACTATCTTCTATTACTTGACTCTTTTAGGTTCTGATACAAATAAGTGGAGGCTCCACTGGAGGTTGTGTGAACACAATAGAATCACATTTTAAACCAGATTTGTTGCATGAGTTTGACCCAAGCATTACATTAGACAACCTGAAAGAGGGTACTAGTGGTGGAGGCGTTGGAGGAAGGCGTAGCTCTGCAATGCCACCAGAAACATATGCTCATCGACAGCCTTGTGGAATGACTGTTAAACTTGCCGCTAAAATGGTAAGCTAGTCTGATGATTCAGGCAACCATCACTCATGTTATGTTTTTACCTAAAATTCCAAACATTACAATTGTTATATACCTGCTTACTATTCTTCTCAAAATGTATATCTTTAGGTTCTAATGCACATGTTAAACCATGTTGGTCACTTTCCAATGGCCATTGGGGCTGCAAGACTGTCGTCAATGGTTGTGGAACATGATGATGTGCCCGGTCTATCCCCTGATGAACTCAATGTTCAAGTTTTCTCAGCTCCGAACATACAGGTTTGTGGACAATCTTTGAATCTTTCTTTACCGTAAACTATCGTTTGAGGTACTATTTATTCTCCTATGTTTGGTGCCGTCAGCTCTTGGTCCTCAGCTCCCAAAGACTTTTATCCTTGGTTGAGCTGCCAACATTAGCTGTTCCTGGAGGTGGTGTGACTGCAGGTTTAACAACAGCCCGTTCTCAAGTTAGATTACTGCTGCGGGACCTGAGTGGCAAAGCTTGCTGGGATGCATCTATTCTTTACTGCAGTCCTGAAGACAGCACTGATTCCTCTCTTAAGTGTTGGGCTCCAGCTTCAGGTAGGTCATGAGAATAATGCTGCATAGATGTATCATCTCATCTACAATTTCTACATTTCCTACAATTTCTATTTTTTTTTTTTATTTATCTATCTATCCATCTAGGCAATGTTGGAGCAGGGCAGTCTGTTTATCCGTCATCACCTAGTTCAGTAGTTCATCGAAGACCATTGTCAGTTCCCACTCAAACTAAGATGGAAGAATCCATTTTAGCATCCTGCCTGGTGAGTCACACTCCACCTCAACATACTTTGCGTCACCGCCCACCTCATGTTCTTCCGACAGCACAAAACACCGCTGCAGATATGGACAATTTGGATGATGTAAGCATAATGTGCATATTGTGGGATTTAAAAATTTAGTCTAATTTTCCCTCTTAATTGATCCGTGCATATCTTTCCTACCAGTTGCTGCAATATATTGGACATACTAGCCCAGAATGCTTGGAATCTTTGGACACCCCACGTAATCTCCCATCTGCCCCTCCCCCCCCATTGTTTGCTGAGCTAGAGCAGGAGGTCATGACATGTGTTTTAAACCAGAGATTCAATGAACAAGAGTACCTTCAAAAGCATCATTCACATGCAACGTGAGTGTAATACATACTTGTGACCCTAGCATTCTTCTTTTGTACCTTGCCGCACATGTAACTTTTGTGTGTGGTGTGTATATTTTATATCTTTCTCTGGCCTGTACAGTATGCTGGGGGAATGGGCTCAACGCCCTCCCCACAGACCACCTGCATCACCATTCCAACATTGCCGTTTGCTGTTCTCCCAACTTGGGTTTGCTGGATGGGAACGTAGGTCTCAGCTTAACTTACTGTCAAAAAATGAGAAACTCCTTCGAGAGCTTCGTAACCTTGATTCTCAGGTGAGTTTACCTTTTTAACAACTCTATTCCTTTTAGCACTATTACTGCATTTTCTTTATATTTTCTGAACATGTTCTCCATGGTGCAGCGCTGTCGAGAAACTCACAAAATAGCTGTAATTTATGTTGCTGAGGGTCAAGAAGATAAAAACTCTGTTCTATCAAACACTTGCGGAAGCCAAGCATATGAGGACTTTATTTCTGGCCTTGCATGGGAGGTAAGCTTGTCTCACAGACCAATCATACACTTATGTATTTATGCCATCCTATCTATCTATTCTCATTAAATAAGGGAAATCAATGGATTTACTCTACTATTAATAATACTAGCTTTTAAGATTAATTTTTATCTGTTGTTCAGGTGGAATTAGAATCCCATACAGGATTCTTGGGGGGACTCCAGCGTAACAAAAGTACTGGTGATACTGCTCCCTACTATGCAACATCTTTCCTTGAAGTTATTTTTCATGTTGCTACTCGAATGCCTTCTTCAAGTCAGGAGTCGTTACTGCAAAAGGTAATATTTTGAGTTTATGTCTTTGATATGTTAATATTATTCTTCTCCTTAATATTTTAAGACTAATCTTTTTTTTCACAAAGAATTATCTTTCTTATTTTTTTGCTAATGCGTATTTGCAATTCCTCTGCAGACTCGCCATTTAGGGAATGATGAAGTACATATTGTTTGGTCAGAGCATTCAAGAGATTATCGACGTGGTATTATACCAACTGAATTCTGTGATGTTTTAATTGTAATTTATCCCTTACCTAACAAACTCTTTAGAGTGCAAGTTACACGGAAACCAGAGGTAATTCTTCTCGTTGTCTTCTTCTTTCTTCCTTTTTTTTTCCTGTGCGGGTGCGCGGTTGGGGGGGGGGGTAGTAGTTCTACAAGTTACTTTTCAGTATACCAGTTTTCATGACATCTTTGTTATAATTTGCTTCTGTCTATTCTGTCTACAAAACCAGGTTCCTTACTTTGGACCCCTTTTCAATGAAGCTATTGTTGACCAACGAGTTCTGCCAGGATTGGTCCGGGCAACAGCCATTAGTGCCTCTCGTGCTATGCGTAGTTTGTTGCCTTTCTACCAACAGTAGTAAGCACCTTTTACTCACATCCTTACCATTACAGCTATTTTGTCTTTTAAATACTCTATACGACGGTATACTCTAAACCTTAAAATGAAAAATTCATAGTAACTTTTCTCTTTTAGTTATGAAGATAGAGCCAAGTCCCTTGACACCATTGTGAAAAATCATAAAGATGCTACTACTTATGAAGAGTTTACGGGACATGTATTTTCCCCTGCCCCAGGCTCAGCTACATTCTATTCTAACCCAAACCGTACATCAGGTGTGACTTATTTTAATTTTATCTGAATTTAAAATCTGATATGAGCATAAGTGTAAGTAAAATAAGATCTTTCTTGGTAGGTCTAAGCTATCCTGAGAGAGAAGGAAACAGTACTCACAGTTCTCAACTGGCAGCTGCCTTACTAGATTCACATAGGAATCCATCTCCGCGGTCGTCAAGTATAGGTTTACAGGACATACCTCTCAGAGGTAAGTAAATCATTATTTCCTCTTTTTTTTGATTTTGATTTTCTCTAATTTACCTGTCAAAATATTTCATGTAGGTGGAGCGGAACATATTGATGCTTTGCATGGAATTTCGCCTCGTCCACTGAAAAAGCTGCCTTTAAAATTGAATTCTAGGGCAAGTAAGGGCCTTGGGTCGTCATCACTGACTCCACCAGACAGCCCTACTAGTCGCAAGTCCAAGTAAACTCTTCCTGAAACTAGGAAGATAATTAAAGCATTTATACCTACTTAAATTTTAATTATACATACATAGGTCACTTGTGATTTTGTAATTATTACATTTAGCTGTTTTCCTTAACTAAAAACTAGTTTTCAATGAAAAATATTAAAGTGAAGTTGAAGTTGAAGTTGAAATGTATATCTGCAAAGTCTTCTGTTGTTTACAAGGCTTTGTTACTATGCTATAGCAAAAAAATCAATTGTAGCTCATAATCAAAGCTATGTAGTTCTGGAAAAAGGATCTACAAAAATCTATATTGTATGTTAATTTTTTCTTATGATTACCTCGTGGTTAATTTGATTCTATTTATGAACTTAAATAAGTTGAAGTGAAATGAAAGCATTTTACCTTTTAACTCATCCCTATCCCTGCTTTTTCAAAGCCAGAAGATATAAGAAATGAAATAATAATAATAATAATCAGTATTACGCACTTGCATCTATATTGTTGTGCTATACACATATTTATTTAAAAGCAATTTGTTAATGAGTTAACCCCACTTTTTCCAAAGATAAAGATTCCAATTTTGAACCTGTATCATTACAATTTGTGGTCACAGTTAAGAAGTACATAGAAGTAAAACTTTTTAAAATTTCTTGTTGTTCTTAGGATTCCTGGTAGATGATACTGTTTGGCTTGGGATAATTAAGTATGGTGGCTGTTTTCTTACCCATCTTTTATGTTATTTGTCATTTTCTTTGAGCAAAATTTAAAATTAGGAAAGGTTTTAACTTTTTTCCTAACCGATCACAAAGTGCAGTTTGTGGTGGTGCGTTAGAATATTTGGCAGACAGAATTAGAGTCTTCAGTTGTGAGAAGCTTAAGTTGTTTAAATATCACCCTTTAGGAATGGGAATTTTTGTGATAGTAGTTTTCCATAGTCTTACTCTAAAATGTATTGGACCAATTACTTAATTTTTTGGCATATTCATATGCAAACAATTTTCTTAGAAATAGCATGTATCAAGTGAACTGACATGTCATATTTGTTCATATATTCATGCCTGTATAATGGCAGTATTTCAACAAGTTAAATAATGTGATCAAATTGTTAACTGATATTATGATGGATGTGAGATTTTACTCTATTTTCTAGTGTTATGTCCTTCATGAAATTTCCACTTTAATCAAGAGAGCCGTATTCATAATTTTTTTATTCCCAATGACCGTGAAATGATATATCCCAATGAAAGTGAACTAAATGTGATTTGTACTTTAATTGTTTGTGAGATGTTGTGTATTTGATGTTCTACTTTATTTTTTTTACTATCAATATAACCAGTGATACAAATTTAGAGACAAGGTATTTGTTACACAATATTTTTGCAAAACATTTGCAATTTCTGATTGTTTTTTTTTTATTGTTACTGTGTTGTTGGAATGATTGAAAACTGTACTAATAATTTATAAAATTTTGACGGTACTTTACCCTTTTTCTGAGGCCCTTACATTGTTATTCATGCTATTAAACTATGAGAATTTAAAACAACATGCAAGATTCTTCTACTCTGAACTAGTCCTTTGCGTGCGTGCGTTGGCTATTTCCGCATTTTGAAACATTCAGGCTGCCCCACGCTAGGGCCTGACTCAAAATTTGTTGACAAATCTGAAATAAAACCAAAATGGGTGTCTTTACTTGGATCGCCCGTGGATGCCGTGGATGAGCCGGAATCCGGTGATCTCCAAAGCGACCACCACGACTTGGCTCCCTGTTCGGCCTCGGTCCGCTGTGGGGCCGTGTAGGGGCCCCATACGGACTGTCAAAAGTCAGAGTTCTGAGTGCGACCTATTTAGGGTGAGGCTGTACGCTAGGCGAACCCGCCAAGCACCTGAGTGGAGCCCGCAGCCCCGCCGCCTGTTAGCTACGACCATGTTGGTAGCTTTAGTGGTGGCTACAACCGACAAGGCCACAGGCAGCTTATCCTCACGCCCTCCCTCCCCCCTTCGGCGACTTGAGGAGAGGGGATACACTGGGAAAACATAGGTGCTCTCGGGTGCTTAGTCGTGCCTTTTCAGGGATGCTAAAGAGATTTTCGGTTCGGTGTCTCTTTAAATTCACCTAAGTGCCGTAAAGGTGCTTAAAATTGGTGCTTTTGGCAGTTTGTCTTATCTTTAAAAGGCACTAACAAAATAACATATCAGTAAGATTACATTGATAAACAGGTGTTCAACTGCCGTATTCAAATATCCGGTCAAACACTTCAGTGTGCGACATGGTGTTGATCACTTGCATGAGCGCGCCAGTTGAACACTTAATATTTATCAGTGAATGTGTGATTACGCCATTCACTAGTAAAACAAACGTGCAAATATTGCATTGCACATATATTACACATAATATTGTGTGCAACATATGATTCTGCCTCGGATTCTGCACATTACGTGGTGTTTGCGGGACGATGCGCCAGGCGCCTGCGGAGAGGCGAGTAGCATAGGCAACCCCGCCGGGCTCGAGAGTCCAACGGGATGGTCTGCGCGCTGGGCGTCTATGGAGAGGCTGGTCGCTGGTTCGAATACCTTCCCCGGAATATTTTTCTCACTCTGCGGGCTAGGATGGATGTGGCCTGAGTTTACAGAGAGGGCACGAACAGCAGAGGAGACGTGCTCCAGCGCCAGGGCTCTACCTAAATTTAATGACCCTTTATTATCGTTCCTGTTTTATTGTGTAGGTTTCCCCAAAAGTTAAGAAAATCAAAACTTTGCTGAAAATGATTGAGATATGTCCTCGCATTGGTCGGGAAGACACCCCTTTCCGCCCCTTTCACTCACTCTGTCGATATTTCGTACCGCCGACTCAATACAGCTGAGTTTGAGTTTCCTTTGAGCGTGAAGTAAAGTTTCAAAGTACCTACTCAGACATCTTTGTGAATTAAATGAAAATTAAAACTCTGAAAATGGCATCGTCCGCTCATGGAAATAATATCTACTTAACTTTATTTTGGAATTTTAAACAGACTTTTAGGATGGACTGTCCGCTGTCGATTTTGGATACTGACCTGGCAGAGTGCTTGATGGTTTTTGGAATATTGCATCGTTTTGTGTCAGTGTAGGATGTTTTAGAGTGCTTGCCTCGGCCACTCATTGCTTTTCTGCTCCGGCAAATGGTGCTTACATACTTTTTGTACAACAAATGTAGAAAGTTGCACACTAAGTGAGGTGCCGTTCCAAGTGTGAAAAGTTTATGCACTTCATATGCTGTTGTCCCGAACTAGGCGTCAGCTGAGGAGCAGGCATTAGTTTACGTTCGGTTAAATAAGCTTTAAAGTTTGCACACGACGGGGTGATTAATCCACTTCAATACCATGAGATGTGCAGAAGTGCAGAAGTGCAATACTTTGGACATTTGTTTTACCAGTGTATGGCCAGGTATGGCGTAGAACGACACAATGTTAGTGATAAGTTATTTAGTTATTAAAATTCCTCCCTTCCTCGGGGGGACCGTACGGAGGGGGAACCACCCGAGTCGATCCCTCCTATCAGCCTTTATTACAAAATTATATTAATTTACAAATTCAGCCAAAAATGAAATTGCATTAGACTAGCAGATAATTAGACGTTTTAATTGATTGCTAAATGATATTAACGTAATGAGTCACTGACTGGTCGCCAGTTGTTCAGAACTATGCGCTATTGGCGTCGTTTAGGTAGCACATCTGTGACCACATCGTAGCAGCTGATGCATTCGTGATTAGGGTCTATGAGTTTTATTCTTGCCCGAAATCGTCCGTAAGGAAGTGACTTGATGTTGCTGGGTGGCTTCGCCTCCACGGTGAAGTCTCGCACGCGTGCTGACACCTGCGCAGACAAAGGAAACACGTAAGGCGGAGCGTCAGATGATGGTCCAGGCAAGGGGTGTCCAGTAAGAGGGCGCCTTACTTTGACTAGGCGAAAACCAAAGGCAAGGCACCCTCATATTGGACTCCTCTCCTTGCGTGGGCCCCTCTGCAGGAAAAGGGTGCCAAAACTCAAGGTTTTCTACAAAAGTGCGACTTAGGTCGCACAGAAACCTGGGACGTAAGTCGCACGGCTCCTGGGTACCCTAGATTTACAGTGTAGTCATACTGTACCGCATGCACAGATGCGATCGGGTTTGCCTATCCTCGCAGTCCGTGGCTTCTTAACGCCCCGTGCGTGTAGGCAACCCATCGCACCTGTGCGTGCGGTAGCAGTATAACTACGAAAGGGCGCGGCGTGAGTTAGCCACCTGGTGCAACACGACATGTAGGGACGGCGTCTACTTTAGCAGGGTATTACGCCGGGAGGCCTCAAATGCAGAAAACAGGCTCAATCACTGTACTCACAGGGGGTAGGGGACAGTCGGTGACACTGCCGTCGTAGTACAGGTCAGACACCTGTTTGAAGATATCTGGACGATGTGATTTAAATGCTGAGCACGGGTTCGCGACAGTCATCCTAAAGACGTTATTGGTCCACCCATTCCCGCTCCACCTCGATACTCTGACCTCTGTCTAAACAGAACAAAGAAAACAGTCCGATTCAAATATGCGTACGTGAGCGTCACTCAAAAGTGAATAACCACGGTTCGTGTTGCCAAAATGCCTATAGGAGATCAGAGTCCTCTGATTAGTTCAAGTCTAAATTTTAAACAATGACTGGGTCGCTTTAAACTTCATTACTTCACGAGACTTAATCCTGCATAAGCATAACAGTTGCTCTTCCCTCTGAAATAATGGCACTGTCGATGAAGACCTTTTTCAGATGTAATCACCACATCAGTTTGCTAGTTTTTCGATTAATTAATTTTTTTACCTTATAGCTGTCGTCGACTGCAACTGTCGAATTTATGTCTGCGTTATAAGTGTACTTGTACTGATTGTCGGGATCTCTTGCGACCTTCATGTTGGCGACTTCCATTTTCTCTGGATGATTGCATTTTTCAGGAACGCCGCAGTTGGCAACATTTCGCAACTCAACTCGGAACGGACCCTGTAGTTATTAACAGAACAACGATATGAAAATTAGTTCATGATACCGCCACGCATTTTAAGGTTGAGATAAAAAAAAAGAGTAAAAATTTGGTTGCTGCACGAACTATGCCTCCAGGAATGACTGTTGCAGCATCCGCGACGGGACTCTTGAGAGCGAGGGCGATGAGGATGCTGAGCGCACCCAAGACACGAGCGGCGGGCGCACTCATGCTGCGTGCTGACTGCGAGCGAGTCGACCTTCCACTGACACTGACATTGTGCAGAAAGGGAGAGGAAGGGAGGAAGGGGAGGAGGGGGCAGGGGGAGAGAGAGGTTGCCATGGACCCTCCGCTCCCACTCCCTCTCCTCCCTCTCCCCTTCATCACCGTCCTTGTGTTTTGAGATGGGCCCTGTGATAACTCGTCACGAATACCAATCGTCACGCCAAGCTACACACCTGACCATCCCGCCCTGCTTGGTCGCGCGGGCGACGCCGCCGACTGTTTGGATTGCATGCAGGCCGGGTGACGATTGCACTACCGATTGCAGCTTGCAGCACGGCGCAACACACTGAATGCTATGGGGATTTTGAGGGCCTACAGCAGGCCCCACTGAGCCGTACTCCCTCAAAAACTCTTATCCTTTGTGACGGGCGCTTCTGACGAGTGGCGTAGCGTAGCTCTCTGCGTGACGCGCGCTTGATCTTGCTCCCCCCCCCCCCGCAGCCACGCTGACATTTTTCTCAGAATGTAAGCGCCACTGTTCACCAGGGTGCGACGGGCCGTGACGTGGCGGGGTGGGTCGAGGCGGAGCACGCGCTAATGTACCATGAGCGTGTTGTTTTACAGCAGGAGGGAACACCCAAATGAGCGGCGAGGTAGAAGGGCGCGTAGTGTGTGGTGTGATGTCGAGGTCAGAGGCGCCGGGCCGAGTCTACTCTGCCAAACTCATGCGCTGCCTTCGGCTGGCGTCATTTATTGGCGATGCCCCCCCCCCTCCATTTTTCACTCACTGCATCGGGTCTCTTTCTTCGATTATAAGACGAGAAACAGAAAGTATCGGAAACCACGTTAAGCCTACAAGAGCATCAAATTTATAAAACAGAGTTTAGCTAGATAAAAAAGATAAATATGTAGTTGGCCACATCCGCACGAAGGTCCCGCCCGGTTCCGCCACGGGAAGCAGCCGAGACGGTATGGGCACGGCATGACATGAGACCGCCGTAGTTACGGGAGACGATTCTTCGGAGTGATGGGTTTAGCCTGTAGGCCAGTCCCTGGTATCCCCTTTTGCTGTATTTTTTTTTACTTCTTTCGGTGCGGTGGGGGAAAACCACACCCAAAGAAGCAGCCACGCCCCACCCGGCCCGGCCCGCACACCACCACGCGGCTCAGCGCCCTTTGAAGCAGCGCATTAGCCCGGGCGGTACGTGAGGGTGGCGGCCTGGCAGCTGACCCTGTCGCCTTTTTCATGTGGAGGTCGTCGTCCGCGTCGCGTTGCGAGTAACGCTGCTGGCCCGCGCTGGTGAGAGGCTCCACCGTGGCGAGGGGAGAGGGCGCCGCTGCTGCAGCCGCGAGGAAGGGGGTAAAGACCACTGGGTCTCTGCAGAGTACAGAGGGAGGAAGAGGGGGGGGGCAGCTGCGAAATAGACATTTTTGCGCGACGGCGGCCCGCCTCGGCTGGCTGGGAAAGTGTGTCGTTTCCGCGGCATTGCCGTATACCGTCGGCGTCAAGAAGGGGGAGGAAAGTCGTGGGGAGGGGGGTATGGGGGGGAGATGCCCGCCCCTGGCGCCCCTGGCATGCAGGCAAACCGTTTAACACGTGAGTGGTCCGGGCCGCGCTCCCAGGCGCCCCTGATCCCCTCCCTTCAGGGCCCCGGGGAGCAGCCGCCTACAGCCGCCCTGGTGGCGCCCAGATTGCTCCGGCCCCGCCTTATTCGGCCCGGCCGTGTGAAAGACACGGCAACAGGGAGGGAGGGGGCCGCGCCTAGGGTAGGCTGCCGCAGGCTGCCGCAACAGGGAGGGAGGGGGCCGCGCCTAGGGTAGGCTGCCGCAGGCTGCCGAGTCGGGGGCCGGTCTAGGTTTAGGCACAGGAGGGGCCGTTCGGAGGAGATTGCCATTGCAGGCGCGCCCAGCCAGATCGCGAAAGTAATGAGGGCGAAGCGGGCGGAAACGCCCGCGGGGCTGGGCGGAGGAAGGGTTGGCTGTGCTGATCAGCGGCCGTGGGTCGGCGTTACGGTGGCAGGTGGCTCACCTCCGACTGCACCTACTGCATCCTTGTCGACTATCGGTGTCACATGACAGCCCGATAGAGTAAAGGGGGTCATCCTGCAAAGAGTACCCCCGTCCTTCGCCGCCGATACGAGCCTGCCTGCCTGCCAAGTGCCACCAAGTTCAGCCAGGGCGAGGTCTCATGGCGCCTGCTCGGTAGGCAACATCTTCTCTTCAGTGCACGGGTGTACTGCGGGCTGGCCTACCCTGAGTCTCGCAGGCGCTGAGCCCGACTCGAAGTAAGACCTCGTTTATCAAATGGATCTAAGATAAACGGATGCACTTTCTGGACGATCCCTGAGCAATCCCGCAAAACCATGACGCCTGCAAAGAAACACAGATCTTGTCACTCATCAAGGAGAAGAGAAACACGAAAACAATGTTTCCCTAAAACTATAAGCTGAGGCATTGGTTGACATGGATTACTAGCTCTCTCTCTCTCTCTACTTATTACTAGCTGAAACAGATACGCTGGTGCTGAGAGTGGTTTTATTTAGGACAACTAAAACTTATCTGAAATACCTAAATGTTTTCTGCTAATAAGGCCAGAGTCCATACCTAGTTCCCTTTCTTCGCGCAGTAAAATATTTCGATGATGATGACAAAAATCATAAAGATGAAACTCGACAAATATGCCGCCTAGTTTTTGGGTTCGGATGACTTTGTCGCCTTCCTGCTGAACACCCGGGCGCGCAACGAGAGCCCGTTGCATTAAGGCGTGCAAAGTCGAGGTGAGCACACCCATGCTTCTAGAAGCTTCTACACGAGTGAGCGTCAGACGTCCGCCCTGCACGCAAAATGTATTGGTGTGCTTTCGTGCAATAAGTTTCGTTTCGTGCCAATAAGTTAAAACTACGTTTGGTTTTGAACGATTTTGTGCGCGAATTTCGTGACTCAGGACTAAATTGATGCACTATTCTTTTCAAATCAACGTGTGCAAAAAGTTTGATTTCTTTAGATTGCGCAGATAAATGATACAAATCCAGTTAGTGTGTAGTGTTGTATTTTTAGAGTACATACCTCACGGTAAAAAGAACATCTTGGAATTCTAGTAGGTTCCTTGAAAACTGTGTTGAAATCCAAGTAGACCGCTTGAAATCCAAGATGTCATTTTTACTGTGCTACCGAGAAGTTGTAAATTCAGTTCACCTCGACATTGTGCTCCGTTTTCAGAGCCGCAGCGTATTGTATTTCAGACAGACCCCTCCCTCCACCACCTCCGCGATGGCGAGCCGATACAGCAGAGATCACACGTGACAACGTTCGCGCGGGAAGCGGGGAGGGGGACCAGGGCCAGAGCGTCACGTGTCAGCTGTTCCGCGAAACGGACAATGACAACACAAACCAAAAGTGCGAAACTAGTATTCGACTTCAACTTTAGTCTCCATTTACACCGGACCGGACCCATAGCACCCATAGCAACACTCTGGAAACTCAGGTGGGAGGCAATGCCACACCAAATGATGCGAGGCAACATACCTCACACCAAATTAAATAGTGTGAGACCGTCAGTGACTCACACCAAATTAAATAGTGTGAGACCGTCAGTGACTCACACCATCTGGTGTGAGTCTGCCTATCACACCTGAGTTTATTCCGGAGCACATGACGAACGGAAACGTTTTTTTCCCCCGCACCCGTTACCCCGTTATCCTCCAACATCTCGCCAACGAGTGAACGGTACATATCCAACTTCTCCTGTGGCCGGGGCGATTGCGTGCCCCCCCCCCCTTTTCCCTGGTACCGCATACATCCGAGCGGGAGCGGTGGGCGGTGGGTCCACGCAAGCCCACGCGCTGTTGACACACTCGAGCTGCTTTGAGAGTCGATACGGCAGCTGCCAGTGTGGCGTAGCCCCTCGCGGGACCCATAGAAGTCTGGGCCTGGCGGGGCCGGGTGGGGCCGGGCTGGGCAGCGCGGTCTGGGCGGGCGGCCACCTCGCCCACCGGCCTACACACGCCGGACAACACGACACGCCGCGGCCCACAACCCAGGGCGGTTAATGATGTGCCACCACACCCACACGGTGCCCCGTGGCCGCCAGCCCTCGCGAAGGTCGGCAGTCTTTGTCCTGGGCGGTGGGCCCCCGCACTGCTACTGCCCAGGCCCCTGCCTCTGCCCTGCCCGAGCTGGGCTTCCCCTCCCGCCCGCCCGCACGCCTGCCTCGACGCTTTGCCCGGCTCTACCCCGGCAGACATCGCTGACTCGAATCTAATCCTTCCCATTCGGTGAAGCCGAGTTTCACTTCACGCTCCCTGCCCCCCCGCTCCCCCTTGCTCTCGACGTGAAGCAAAAAGACGCGGCATTGGGCCGCCAGGCCCCCTCTCCGCTCCACCCCGCGGCCCGCGACACACACCGCCGTGCCATCGGTTATCAATTAGCCTCGAGACATCTATCACGAATGCCTCCCTCCCCGCTCCCTCTCAGTCATCAGCCTCCTCTCCTCCGGCCGCCACAGAGCGGGGTGTATCGTGCGGAAGTAAATGTCGCTGTGGTGGGGCTGTTGCCCGCGGAGCTCCCGCGCCCCTCCCCCCTTCCCTCACTCCAGCTCGCGACGCCACGGAACGGAATGGAATGGCTCGAGATAGGGGACCGTCCACAAAACTCGGGGCTTTTTGAAAGGGCTCCCTATAAAAGGCTTGCAAAGAATAGGTTCGTATTGCAAACAATTTTCATTGCAGTTTGCTGCATTGCAAGCATTCGAAGTAGTTCTTCGCGAGCTTTGCAAGTTTGCAAGGATTCTGAGAACTTTCATTGAACATTTTTATAATACGCGAACTAGTTGTCTGTGATGGATAGCTCGGAAATACTTTGCAGCGTTGCAAATAATATGGTTCGCAAGCATTTTACTGTGCTGGGATTGGTACACGCGAGAGTTCATGTTCTTTGATACACACTCGCGGCGCACTTTCGTGGCTGTACTGTACCGCATGTTTTGTCGCAAGTGATTATAGTTTTGTAGAATTTGTAAAGACACATTGGGTCCACATCACATCGGCGAAGCAATCTTGGGCC